TTCATCGGATGAAATAAGTGTCCAAATATAAATCTGACATGCACCATGAGAGAGGTTTAGTTGAGAGAAAAAAGTCTGCAGATATCGTCCCTTGTTTTCAGACATGGACCGGGCTTATTAGCAGGGTGCGGAGCATCAATTGTTGGGCATTTTGTCACCATTCAGCCAACTGACACATCCATATTTTACACAGACTAATTACACTAATTAATTCCACAAAAAACAAAGAATTACTGAGATCGTATGAAGCCATTCAGTCATCCACAAAAGAGCTTCTTGTGCATGAATATCCACTGATCAGATGCACTGACTGCATTCATAAAAGAGCATTTCAGAAATGTACAAATGAACATTAAATAATCTTCCAAATCCTGGAGCCAAAACCTTGGAGCATCTCCTCTGGTTGCAAATTAGCCGACTTTCTGCTCACACTCTAATAATATTATACCCCAAGCACTTTACACAAACTTTATACAACTTGGAAAAAAAACTTGCCTCATGCAGAAAAAAGACATTTAGTGATTCTAGCCACTAGATGTCAGTAGAGCTCAATATCAATGTAAATCAATATCCTTTAAATGTGAAAGCCTAAATTATTATGTTTATTGATATATTTTTTCTCATTGTCTGTTTTATTTTCCTTTACAAGCTATGTTCATAATTTACTATTGGTACATAAAAGAATACTTGGTAATGATGTGGCATGGTGCTGACCAGGAATGCAACAGAAGTTAAATCAATCTAAGGTTTATTTAATACAAATCTAAACAAGACAGGCAGCATGAAAACAGTGATAACTGACAAGATCTAACAAAAGAGTGAGAGAACTATGGTGACAGAGGGCAGTTATTTAAGTGGCTGTTGGCCAGACTGGAAAGACTGATGTGAGTGAGAACAGGGAGGAACTATAACAATGAAAACAGCTAAACAAAACGCACTAAGAATCGTATACCAAAGGAATAATGGAAAATACTATAAATTCAAAGGCAAAAGCAAAAGCATAAACAACCCACAAATGGTAAAACAACCAAAACTACAAAAAAACTCAGGGAGGCAAGGGCAGCACTGCTGAAACTAATCATGTTGAAGATAATTGTCTATTCTGACATCTGTACTTAGCATACTGATCAGTAACTGAGCACAGATTTTAGTCTGATAATTCTACTTAAGTGGATGTCAGTCCTACATAATTTTATATCCTGGTTAAGCTCAACCTTAAATGAAAGTCATTTGAATTCACATTTACAAAAAGGTGTAAGAGAAATGTGTTTTTGTTTGTTTATTTTGTTTGTTTAGAAATCCACTTGCCGACTGACCACAGTTTTTATATTTGTGGTTATTTTATTGGAGGCAGCCTCATTCAGAGAATTTAAAAAAAGAAAAAGAAGGTTAGCCATCTCAATCAATACAGCATATTTTATCAATATGGAAATCTTGACAATGGTAATACTACTTCTACTACCACAACTGGAAAAATGACAGTTTTAGTCATTTATCCTATATGTTGGTCATGGTCAGCTAAAATAAATTAATCAGTTTCTGAGAAATCTGCGTCGACAGTTTAAAACCTAAATCTGTGGCCATCACCAGCATGGAATTTCATTCTGTAGGTAACATGATCAAATTTGATTTTGTGTGTTTTCTGCCACCAGCTTTCATTTTAACCCAGGCTGCAGCTTTTCCTGATACTTTTCAGGGACAAGTCCATCATTAGATATCTCCAATATTTTTCAGAATTATATCTTCATAACAGCAGATGGGAATCCCATGTTTGTTGATTTGCTTGTATCTTTTGTCACCTTTAAACTATTTTGAAATGTGGGGCTCAATATGATTAATTAAAAAGATTAAATCGTAAAAAGGTCGTTCAACTTTTTACCCTATATGCTGTATGTATCATATTTGATACATCCAGTTTGTGAAATGTTTTGCATCTGAGATCTTTTGCATTATTTAAAGTTAAAAACGTATAACCCTGTTGTACACGATCAGATATACCTGATAACAACAGCTGGAAGACTACAGGACAACAATTTTGACTTATCGCATTTTAATAAACAATGAATATTCAAAATGGATATTTTTTCATATTTTGTTCAAGGGCCAAATAAAGGCTTCAAACAAAAAGTAAAATTACCTCTACAACTTCTACAAAAGTCATTAATATAAATAGAATAGTTAGTGTTACTGACTACAGGTCTGGTAAGACATGACTTTTGTTACATTTGTGTAAAGTTTCTTACCATTAGTGTCTCTATCCTGATTCTGTCATTTTGACCACCAAAATTGAATAATACAATTTATTATTTCTTTAAATAATAGGTTATTTATTTAAATCAGTTGTGTCGGATTTAAAGAAATAACCTTAAGGTATGTCTCAAGAGTAGCAAATTGACTGACCAAACAGTGCCTCTGGCAACAGCTGATTCATGTGCGGAGGATAATGAAAGTAAACTAAACTCTTTTGCTTTCGTTCCTCGTCTTGTCCACGCCATGTAAGAGTGTTTTTATTTTGTACTTTGTCACAGTCTTGTTTTTGCCATTTGGATTTTGTGCTTTATTCACAGTCCTGTTTACTTGATTTGATACTTAGCCCATAGTCTTGTTTACTTGTTTTGATACTTTGTTCACAGTCATGTTAATCTTGCTTTGATACTTTGTTCATAGTATTGTCTGCCTTGTTTGAACTTTGTCTGTCATCCACTCCGTCTGAGTAAATTTTTGTTAATTAAAACCCTTTCGAACCTCACTCCCCGCAACTGAGTCCTCCATGAGACCCATCCGCCTGACAGAAAGCCTAGGTGAGTGGAGCCAGTGAGACCGCGAGAATGCAGTAGTATCAAGAGACTCTGTGGGACTGTCGGGAGATTGAATTATATGGCACGGACCTAAACAAACATTTGAGTAAGATAGATAAATTGTTCACGATATAGGAAATATATATTCCGAGGGAATAACCAACTCAAAACGCTGGAGTACAGAGAAGAAAGCATTGAAACTCAATATACAGGACAAAAGATGTTCAGGATGGGTTTCACACCTTCAAAAATCTGCACACATTGCACAGACAATACAGCAGATGATTATGCACATGCTGGATAATGGATCTCTGTGGGGGGACATGGGTGTCTGACCGGGTTGGTGGTTTTGGGAGCCCTCGGATGGAGCTGTCTTGCGGCCTGGGGCAGGGGTCCCTTGGGGACCCTGCTGCGGTGGCTCTGGCTCCGAACTGGGTGGCCGGTCTGCTCGGGCACGGGTTGGGGTCTGGGGTCTGGGGTCTGGGTGCTGCCTCTCCGTCCTGGGGGACGTCCTCTTCCCTTTGTCTGGGGGTGCTGGGTTGCCCTTGGCATGCCACAACGGGTTGGTTGGTACGGGGTTGCGGTTTCTCATTCTTTTACACACACACAGTTTGTATTTGCATTATTGGACACATGTAGGTTTGATAACAAAATGAATAAATAAAGCAGTTTTGGATTCTCCCGTCTTACTCCTGCTCTCACAGCTAGCATAAGTTGTAAAAATAATTGTATAGGTTCTGGAGAATGTAATCTTGTTAAAGCTGGCAAATAATTCATTAGAATGATGTTTTCTACTCCTTTTATGGTTTTGGAGCACCTCATGGCACAGTGACAAAGACGATTACAGCTGATTGCACTCAGATCTATCAGGTTTCTTTATCATTTTTTGGTTTCTCCGTATTATCTTATTATGTTCAATAACAACGTTGCACAACATTTATCAAACATTTATTTTGTAACTAACTAACTAGATTCCTTCCTGTAAAGCATTTTTTCCAAATAATTTACACAACAATACTGCTATTATTGTCATATTACAGTCACATTTAACAGTAGCTCTTGCTGAAGGTGCACTGTAACTGGTCAAACAGGACTGACATGGAGCTGACAGGAGTCTTTGTGTTTCATGGACCCGTGCAATTCTGTTTCCTTGTTAATTGCTATTTTTAGCCAAGAATAAAAACAAGAAACGAGAGAGCAAAAAGATTGATCCAAATGTACAATGAGAGAAAAAACAACTGCTTAATGTGAAGTATCTATCTCTATCTAAACCCCCTTTAGTCCCGTCTTTCACTACAATCAGGACATGTGACAAAATACCAAGCTAGCCTAAAGTTTGAGGGTTAGTCCCATTGCTAGGTTCAGTTCCTGATTGCTTAAGTAAATTAGAGGCCATGTGACTCTCTTCCTCTTTCACACTGCCTGGTCTGCGAGTCTAACTGACACACCGTCAGAGAAAGGAGAAAATAATCTGTTCCTTACAGTCTGCTGCCTGAGGTAAGAATGTATACTGGCTGTGCATGAGATTTTAATGCTTAATCTTTCTGTTTATCTATAGAAATTTCCCTCAAACAGAGGGAGAATAAAGTGTAAACTATCAAAATGACATAGATGACATCAGGTTTCCCACTCGGTTTGTGACTCAAGATTTTTGTCTGCTAAACTAGGTTTGCTTGACTTTTTTAAAAATATGCTGATAGTTAAGAATAGAACTGCTTCTATAAACATAATGTGATGAGTTGATGTAGATACTTCATCTATCTATGCAAGTGGTGATAGCATGGGATGTTTTTTCATTTATAAAGCATGCATTTCTACACTGATTCATATATCCATCCAAGCTGGCAAAAGTTGTGGGGTCCGGTCTTGAGTTTCAGCCTGATCTAATAAGGCTCTGGCAGAATTGTCAGGGTCATGTGGTTTCATCAGAGACAATGACAGTCAGCTCTCCTCAACTACCGAACTGAAATATAATTTTGAAGCTGCTCTTCTAAATATGTGTATCTAAAGTGTATAATAGTGTATTTTCGAATGAGCATTACTATTTATCAAATTAATTCTTTGTGGGAGGAACAGGCTTTGATTCATTGAATTCCAAACATTCTTTGCAAAACAGTTACTTCTCCAACCACACAATAACAGAAGCTTTGCTGAGTTTGCCCCAAACTGTTCGTTATCACCATCTTGCTGTCCATTTCCCAGAGGTCAAGATGTTCCTGTGCTTTTGGCTGGCTCTAGTAGCTCAGACAGCAGAGACTTTTGCAACGAATCCAGGTGTAAAAGTCAGGCTGACAGATAAAGGCCTTGAATATGGTAAGCCTTGCTGCTGGAGCATTCCTTTTCAGAAGTTTATTGTTCTCCAGGGTTTGATCTTCAGGGTTGATCCACTTGTCTTTTGCTAGGAAGACAACTGGGCATCGTGTCCATGCAGCAGAAGCTCAAATCCATCAAAATCCAAGATATATCAGGGACAGAGAGGGTGTCTCCCATTGGCAAGGTCAAGTACAGTTTGACTAAGTAAGGCAACAGTGTACTCAACACAAATCTAAATTCTCTTAAAACGGGAGAGGCTTAACTATTCCAACAAACAAGTTTTACATTCGTTTCAGTATGCAGATAGTGAATGTGGGATTACCAAAGTCCTCAGTGGATCTCGTGCCCAGGACCGGAGTCAGATTGAGTATTGGTAATGCCTTCCTTGGACTGCATGGAAACTGGAGGGTCAAGTACCTTAAAGTAATGTAGGTGGAAAAAAGAGCTTTCCTTTACAAAGAACAGTTACTTTTTGCTACAGCAATGACTTGAGAATAGCTTTCCAACAGAAAGGACAGCGGCTCTTTTGACTTGAATGTCAATGGACTCACCATCACATCAAGTATCGCCATCAAGAGTGACGAAACAGGCCGGCCAGCGGTCAGCATTATGAACTGTGGAGCCATTGTTGGCAGCGCAAGCATTAAGTTTCACGGGGGAGCCAGGTAAGAGACACCTGGCTGCACTCTGCTTGAACCCATGTGAGAGAATTTGTGGTGTAACACTTCTTGACTTGGTGTGCTGCATTGTCCTGATATCTGGTTGCTGTTTGTTTCAGCTGGCTGTATAATCTCTTCAAAAGCTTCATAGATAAGGCTTTGCGAAATGCTCTGCAAAGACAGGTGAGAGTTAACCAGCAAATAAACTGATCACTACTCCCCCACACAGTACTTTTTAAGCTTAAATAACCTGGCTCAGCTTGTAGGGTATATCCTTTTTGACAGATGCAAGGATTTATGTATGAAGTCACATAACATACAGCAAAAAGTGTCAGCAGATGAAAGCAAAATTATTAGCTTTTCAAACACTTTTCCTGTCATTTGCTGACACATTTGTTCAATCAGGGTTAGAATTTGCACATCTGTCAGTCATTGGAGATCTTAAAAAAGCCTGTTTTTTTTAAAGGCTGTACTATTAAAAAAAAAAGCATAAGCTGACAGTGCATGAGAGGTAATGAGACTGCTCCACTTCCGTAAAAGCACTGGTGAGCCTTAAGTTCATTCAGGCAAATATGAGCAATACATATTTTGAAGAATAAGTGAGTTCTGTTGATCATGAGGGCATAAAAAGGGGAAATGAAATCCATAATGGATAGAGCCATTCTGTAAAAAGTGTAAATCCTAAGGCCAAACAGGAAGCCTTTGCTGTAACATGTTGAGCTTACACGTAACTGAATGCTATCCGTGCATATGATTTAATTATTTTCACTCTGATGATTTTCTAACCATAATTACACGATATATTAGGCCCATTTCACTGCCTCTCCCTTAAAGGAGGGATATTTACACTCCAATAAGGATTTACCTACAGTAGAGGTGTCCAAAGTCAGTCCTTGAGTGGTCCGCTGAACTGAAGGTTTTCAGAGGTTTCCTGGCTTTAACGCACCTGATTCATGTCAGACAAGCTTATTCAGTGGATGTTTTCATATCTCGTTTGAAGAAACATTTTTATTCTTTGGCTTTTAATGCACTGTGAAACAAAAAAACAGCGTCAAACTGTTTATGCAGTATTCATTTTACAAAAGTCTGTCTGTGTTTCAGTTTATTTTATATTCTCTCTATTTCTAATAGACCTAATATAAGGTTTGTCAGCTTGTTTTCTTTTTCCAGCTATCTGTTTAACTATCCTTCTGCCTAAACTATGATTACGTGCACTTAATTTATGTTTTATCAGGATTTGGGCAATCTATGTGGTGCAGTTGAATAATTATTCATTTGTTCCCTTGAGTAGCATTTGCTTGCAAAACGTTAGTAAGGAGTGCATCTAGATTTCAGGAGAAAAATCTACCTCACTTCTTGTGGATATCACATGTCAGGATCCTCAAACGATAATTTAATACAGTCTTCTGTTTCTTTTAGATTGAACTGTGTGGTCAATATTTGTGGAGAGGTACATAGAATCTGTAGACTTTGCAGTTATTTTCTTCGGTGTAAGCAGCTGAGCAGCTCAGAGATTTTTTAAAACAATTTAAATCAGTGGATTTTTATACAGAAATTCTAAATGATTCCTAAATTAAGTCTACAATTACAAATAAACAGCAAATTACTTTTGTTGTTTATCATCTGTTGATTGATTATAGAATAGCATTTTTTTCAACCTTGGGAGCCATTTTAACGATGTCTTATTTTTTCATTCAAAAATAGAGCTAATTTTTTTTTATCATGGAACCCAGAAACATTGGTCCTCTTTTTCTCCTCTTTCTGTTGCAGATCTGTCCTCTGGTGGCTGACGCAGTATCTGATCTAAACCCTCATCTGAAAACTCTCAATAGTAAAAAAAAAAAAAAAATTCTGTTGCATATTCTTCACCATTACTGAATTTTTTACTGTCCTCCTCCTTCACTGCAGTTTTGGCCAAAGTGGACCAGTACGCCGAGATTGAATACTCAATGGTGTCGTCGCCATCAGTTTCTAATTCCTCAATAAATCTTAGCTTAAAGGTGAAGAAATGTTCTACACCACCCATTTGTTAGAGACTTGGAATATGCGCCAATTTTTTCTCCACTTGTCTTTTTTTTAGGGGGAATTCTACAACATCGGAAAGCATCAGGAGCCTCCGTTCACTCCTGCTGGCTTTTCCCTGCCGCCCCAAGCAAACGACATGTTGTACATGGGAATATCTGCCTTTACAGCCAACTCTGCAGCCTTTGTTTACAACAAAGCCGGAGTTCTGAGCTTGTACATCACAGATGATATGGTGTGCTAAACTCTGCTGATGCTTCTATGTCCAAGCAAACCAAACCTGTCAGGGAATGTTGTAACCACATTAGTCCACATTCAAAACATTCCAATTTGGCAAAAAAAAAGGAAAGAATTTTACTAACATACACATCCTATTCCTTGAACATTAAACATTTGATCCGTCAGCTTGTCGATGCTCATCTGCACGCTGGTATCACATTATGTCCCCTCGCCAAATCTCACCCAGGTTTTTGGCCACCAAGGGATATAAGGAGGAAAACTGGGATGATGGGAGTTACTGAACCATAAACATTATGTAATGCAAGAGACTTTTCATAAGCAAGGCAGCACTTAAAGACCAAAAACATCCCACCAACATAGCCAGGAGCACCTAATGATGGAAATCATTCCACAGATTGTTGTGGACCTCCCCCGATCAGTGAAAAAATGCATATATTTTAAAACTGGGTTAGTTCCAGAATATTACACTAATCCAAAACATTTAATTTTGGTCAGAACAGATTCCCCAAGGCTCTCCTTTCCGACTCAACACTAGAACATTTGGAGTCTTCATTCCACAGGTGACAAGCCAGTCTAATGACTGTTAAAAGGCTAAAGGTACGTTGGGAGTTTCTTAGTAATGGACTTTTGTTTTATTTTTTTAGATTGCCAAACAATATCCAGGTCTGATGATGAAACTGCTGGTAAAGACGGTGAAAAACCCCATCATAACTTTTGAACCCAATAACATGACCATTCAGGCCACAGCCACAGTGACAGCCTACGCAGTCCAACCAAACACCACACTTTCCCCTCTTTTTGTCCTCAACTTGGTATGCTATAGCACTGCCCACAATGCAAAGTCACTGTGTTTGTTTGTTTTTTTTATTTTTTATTCTCCTGACCTTTTCCACTCTTGTTTTGGTAGGAAAGCAGTGTCAGCACCCACGTGTTTGTCAGTGGAATGAAGATTGCTGGTTCTGTTATGCTCAATGAGTGAGTATCTGGAAAACAGCACATATAAATTCCCTCAGAAGGAATACCCGTTTGGGTGATCATCAACCTTTGTATTTTTTTTTAACTCCCACAGAATGAATCTGACTTTGGGCACAAGTTATGTAGGACAGTTCCAGGTGAAAGATGCTTTCTGTGACGAGTCACTTCAAGCCCTGCTGGCATCCATTCAGACTAACTATAATCCTTATCTACAGGTTGGTTCCCTTGACAGGATATTCCAAGTGGTCCTGAAAATGGTAGTGTTACCCAAATTAAATGGTGAGTTCTGTAATGGTGTTACTGAAATACAAGCATGCTTTTAAAAGCCTATGGAAAGTTTGAAATATTTAATAATGAGATTTCCGTGAGAGAATTTTGGAATATATTTAATCTTTAAAATTATAATTTTTCTGGTGCTTTTATTGGTTGTGGTACATAGCCATGTTAGAGACAGGTTGTGTGCAGGTGAGATGACTTGAGATCCATGCAAGGGTAATGTTAGGTTTAAGTCACATTGTAAAAACACAAATCAGCAGTCAGTCAGGAAGAACCCATGAACCAGTGAGAGTCTTGAGGGTCATATAGATAGGGTCATCCAAAGCTCAGCCAGGAGCAGTAGTCTAATAAATGACTTTTTTCTTCATTGTGAAGATGACTTGTCTCTTTTAATGGCTTTTATGATCTTTGAAGGGCTTTTAACGGGCTTTCTTAGGCTGCCCAGTGGGGGCAGACTCAGAGATATGTATGTCAACTGCTCTTAGTTGTGTTATCGCTGTTGCTACCCCTTTAGATTTGCTATGTGATTGAAAAGACAGAAACTTAAAACTTAGGGAGTGAAAGCATCAAGATGAGAAATATTGTCTAGTGCAGTTTTATTGCATTTTTATTTTAAGTACAAGTTAGTACTTGTTTGTCATTATGCATGTTGTAATATTTTTTGCTGTAAAATAACTTGTTGTTGACCCTTCCCAGTTCCAACCACTTAAAGCTAACATTTCACAATTCAGCATTCGATCAAGGCATGCCATCCCTGAATTGGTTCAGTTGCTAGCTTTTCAGTGAAGTGAATGTCTGTTAGTGTGTTATAGCTGAGAGGAATGGCAATAAATATATGTAAGGGTGCATGTTTAATGTTTCTAATGGGAAAGCACAGCATAAAGATGCATTATGGGATAAGGGTAAGTCAGTGCTAATGCAATATTTTTGGCAAAATTCTGCTAGTGAGCCTTGGGGTCTGCAAGTCATGTGAATGGTACTTTGGTAGAAACTGTTCTATCATCAAATAAACATTATCTGTTCCTTATCTTGACAATGAACCAAACCCATTAAAAAAGGTTGAGGTTGAATCCTCCCCAAGATTCTCCAAATATCAATCTGATTGAAAATGTTCTGGAAATACAGATTAATCAAAGGAGGCCCAACTTCATGATTTATAGAGCTTTACCTTCAACTGACATCATGGTGCCAGATACCAGAACGTATACAGAGGTCGGTTGAGTCAGTAAGTCAAGCAAACTAGTCAGTATATTATCTTTCAAGTGATTTGCGTCTACAGGAAAATACTTACCAGACGTCCTTAACATCACTCAGAGTGAAGACAGAATTTGGATTTCCACAACATTCGATTTCAGTGACTTAACTAAAAACTAGTTCATTTTGATTTACAGCTCAACTAGCCAAAGGATACCCGCTTCCCACAGTTGGAAAGATGAGGCTTGTGAACACCCAGATTCAAGTCCTGAAGGTAAGAGATGTTTTTCGCAAAACTTCTTGTATCTTTTTTTTTTTTTTTTTTTTTTAAATAAGAGTCATGCAGAAAAGTCAATTTTCTGGCTGAAAAAATGCAATAACTTTCCCTTTTGTAGGACTACATGCAGATCGGGACGGACATTCAGTTCACAGGATGAGCTGTCGGAACCTTTAGTAATGTTTAGTAATGTTAAATCAGGAAACGACTGAAATACCCTTATCCTGAGCGCCGTTGGACTTCAGGAATCACTTCAGATCTTTAAATTTTAAAGTTACTACAATTCTACTAATTTACTACAATTACTTTTGTATTTGTAGACATGAGACATCAGTGTTCCTGCAGTTCTGTCATAAGTAAGGACCAAAGGACACCGCTGCACTTTCTGCTACTGGCTAAATTCTCTCCTCAAGTTTCCACACTTTCCACAAATGTGCTGATCAGTGATATGAAGAGATCGCCACATGAATCAAACACCACAACTTTAGAGAAGAACTCATCAGCAATATGTATTCTTCCTTTTATGTCTTTTACACATGACTCAAGAGTGATAAACAGTGACACACGGACACATTGTCCATACTTTTATAAATAAGCCTTTCACAAAAGAAAACTAGATGAAATTCTAAGTAAAGAAAGTAAAATAAGTAAAAGTAAAGAAAAACAGTAAAAAGAAAAAAGAATACCTGCCATTAATGACTTAATTGATGGCGTGGTTGTGTTTGAAGCAACGTGTTCACGTAAGCTGGTCTACAGGCAGAGCCTCACATCTTGTCAGAGTTCCTCCCAGGGAGCTGTGAGTGAGGGCTATGCCTCTCAGGCTCTGAGAGTTAGTTGACAATATCTAAAAACACACAAGCAGGACATAAAAAAATCAACGGCTGAATTGACATCACACCTTTATATATCTGCAATAATGTCCTTCCACTGGTTTCCCTCATGCTGTGATTACAGTCTGTTAATGATATTTCATAAAGGCATATGTTTTATGATTCTATTAAATATTTGCAAAGCTTTCATGTGAGGAATGATTTTAGCATTTTATTACTGGTACATTATTTCTATCCATTATTTCTATTTCTATCAAACAATCTGACTTATAAGAAGAAAAAGGTAGACTATAATAGTATGGAAAAATTCCTTGGTATCCCAAATTCCTTGTGAGCTGCTGTACATCCTGATACTCATTTAACACATTAAATTATTTTCAGAGTTAAAGCGAGCCTTTATTCTGATCATTACAGTGAGGAAACGTCATACATAGAGCCTATTTTACAGTGGTCCCTCTCCATATTGCTATTTATCTTCTCTGGTCTCAATGTTTTGCCTTTTTTATAGTACACAGTACAATACTGCGTATCTAAATTCTATGTGACCAAATTCTACTGTATAAATCAGACGACTTTGTTTTTTATCCTGAGTGGGTCAGTGAACATGAGTTCTCTAATGTAAACTAAGGTGGTGTGTGGGTCTATAAGAACATTTTCACCAAGGTGAAATAAAAAAAAAAAATTTAAAAGGAGAGCCAGCGACTCCCTATAACAATTTTCCTCACACTAAAAATAACACCCCTGCCGGGGTTTTCTGCAAAAAGAGTTTTAGGAGGAAAAAAAACAAGAGACTGAAAATACTGAACAAGGTCTAAAAGCATCTACAGATATTTTAAATCTTTTTGAGCTAATGACAAAGGTTTGGAGGTTCTGATTCTCATTATAGGAGACTGAACCTTCATATTACCTGCACCAGAACGTAGTCTCCGGCACTGACTGGCACATTGCTGGATTCAACAGACTGTATCAGCAAATCTTCTTTGGGGAAAATCACCTTCATGTTGCCATCTGTTCTGCCACACAGCTCCTTGGCAGACCTTTTACTTTCCTGAACAAGAATGAAGGCTAGTATCAAAGTAACTCAGCGCACAGGTCGGCTACTCCTACTACGATGAGCCACATTTCTCGAGATAACAATCAAGTTTATGGCTCCTGTCTTTTCTAAATGAATCCAAAGGGAATTGAAAGCTCATCTGAGGACATGAAGCGCCCCCTGCACATATCAAGTGTGAAGTACTCACTCCCTCCACCAACACGAGCTGCCTGCTGCCTACAAGAGCAGCGTTGACTCTCAAAGCTTCCTCCCTGAACACACCGATGCACTCCTCTAGCCTTCGCTGCTTCACCTCTGCCGCCACATCATCTTGTAAGCGATGGAAGGCGTGCGTCTTCTAAATGTAAAAAAGTGGCTAAATCGTTTTCGGAGTCGGGAGGGATTCTCCCAAGAATCCACAGCTCTGTTGTAGAGTGGCAACAACTCACCTTCCGCATGCTGTAAGCGAAGAGGAACCCTGTGTTGTAGCCCACCTGTCTGATCAGAGAGAGCGTTTGCTGATGGTCGTCCTCCGTTTCACCGCAGAAACCACAGATGAAGTCGCTGCTGAGACTCACATCTGACACAGAAACATGAATCGTGTTAATAAAAAAAAAAGGTCCACCTCATGGGGAATATGTGTGATTTTAGAATCCCGTTCCTCAAACACCTTGAACTATTTTGTGGTCTAAAAAAACACAGACTTTGCGCTTTAAACTAAACAACTATGTTTGACATTTGTACTTTATTTTGAGAACAGAAAAAAAAATTCCTCCTGTGCTACATCTCAGAGAATAAAAGTAAAACTTTCTCACCGGCCTCCATGTAAAAGCTATGACACCAAAAGGTCTCGTTCTTTTGTCTAATTTTGTCAGGATTGTTGCTCCTCGAATGTATGAATGCTCATTTGGACAGGCCGTTTAGATGTAGGTTGCTCAAAGCAACCACAGGAATAACCATTCTGACTGTCCTCCCACTGCTCTAACGTACAGTTTAAGGCTTTTAAGTCTCATACACACAAAAATGGCGGACTTTAAAATGACTTTATCACCGGCATATGGGATTCAATGGAGCAAATGTTTGAAATCCCAAAATCACGCATCCTGGAACGATACAAGGAGGCTCAAATTCCTCTAATTTGACATCGGCATAAACCTGTTTACGTGCACTTTAAGGCAAATTCCTTTATACATAAAAAGGACAAATTATTGGATTTTATTTTTTTTAACAAAGGTCAAAATGTCTAAACCACATTGTCACTGACAAAGCAAGATTTTAGTTTACTACCTGGGATGATTTGCTTTATGTTCCCCACAAGGTCAAGGTAGGCCTCACTGGTGTAGCTATAATGCAGGGAAAGGACAAATTATTTCATCATCAACTCCAATTTTTCTAAAGAGATGCTTCAAGAAATAAACAAATTGGTGTTTGGTCTGAATGAAAGAGGGTTGTTCCTTACCCACGCCGCATTGCCTTCAGGACCTGATTGCTTCCGCTCTGAGCTGGGAGGTGGATCTGCTTACAGATGTTCCTACGCTCTGCGATCAGATGGAGAACCTGTGAATGGCCACGCAGCGGTCAGCTTGGGTGGCCATGGCAAGATGCCCCTCTTGCAGGCTGAACATGATGGAAGGCGTTCAGAGCCGCCTCGTACCTCATCGGGGAAATCCTTAGGATGAGGAGAGGTGAACCTGATCCTCATGTCAGGGTCGATGCGAGACACTCGGTCCAGCAGGTCGGAGAAGCGCAGCCCCCCCCGTTTTGTCTGGTAGATGGTTTTGAAGCCGCGGCTGAGCTTGGTCAGGTCAGAGGCGCAGAAGTGTTCCTCGGAAGTGTCCCTATAGCTGTTCACATTCTGACCCAGCAGCGTCACCTCTTTCACGCCCTTTAACACATGCACGCAAACAAAAAAATAAATAAATGAATAAAAAGCAGGTCGGAGTTCTGAGAGTTTAACTTATAGAAGTTGCTGGGGAATTAGGAAATCAGAACCATATGTTTAGCACCTTTTCTTTCACAAAAAAGAAAAAAAAACACCAACTCAGTTCACACAAATATTCTTTTAATATCGAGTTAACCGCTTCAAATCTAAAGGGTTGGCGGTTTTATGGGAGATCACTCAGAAGATCTTAATGTCACTTAAAATACATTTAAGACTTTCGGAACTCACTTCCAGGTGTTGAATATGTTGGTAAATTCTTAAGGATCTCCACGAAGAAACTATAAATATTATAGACTATGATAAACATTTAATTTTGGTTACATGTGGCCAACATCACAAACATGTTTCTTAGTACATGTATAATTTAAAAAGCAAATATGAATGAAAAGATTTTAGTTGTGGGTTAGGTAATTTGAAGCCATCATAAAAGGTTTTTATTCCATCCATATCAAGATGGAAAATTTGCAGCTCCTTCACTTGTTAACACGTTTGCCTCTAATGGCAAAAAGCTTCCCCAAAATATTTTTGCCCCGACTGTCTCAGTCTTTTTAAACTACTTGCGCCAGAGAATGATCAAACATGAATGAAATTTCGGGGGGTGTTAGTACAATTGTTTTTTTGTTGTTTTTTCCCTCTTGTCCTGTTCAGCATTATGGCAGCAGAACTAAACTCTGACTACCGTGCTATGCTGAGCGAATTAGCTTTGCCAAGGGAGGCTTTGTTGATGAGAACCCCCCCTTGATTACCCAATACTGCTTTATTTAATCATTTTTGTTACCAAACTTACATGTGTCCAATAATGCAGAACCTGACAGAGGGACAGGGAAGAAAGAAGAGCAGTGTAAAGGAGAGAGATCCTGTAAAAGGACACAGGGAAGACAAAAAAACAAACAAGCAACTGGTTGCAGGAACATTAGTGAGCTTCTCAGAATTGTGCAAAGCAGAATCCCACCCCCCCAGTATCTGGAGGGGACAGGTGCTCCAGAGAGCCAGACACAGCGGACCAGTAAGACCCCCAATGCCACTGAACCCGAAGCCCATGCTGTGCCCGTTGGTCGGCACAGCAGCGGGAAAAATCAGGGCAGCACCCACCCCAACGCCAGGAACAGCATGAGCGGACCGGAGGACAGCAGAACCAGAACCAGACCCCCCCAAGACCAGAGTCACTCCATTCAGACCCAGGCACACACACACCATTCTCTCACACACACCATTCTCTCACACACACACACACACACACACGGAAAGTATATAAATAAATACCAAAAAAAGTAAAATAAATAATAATAGAATATAAAAGAAAAGAAAGGGAAAAATGAAAAAAAATTGGAATTAAAAATAATAATACTAGAGAAAAAATAAATCAATAAATCATCCCGTGAGTGTAGCGTGGCGGGCAACTCTGTAACACCCCACCGCCACAGACCAGGGACCAGCAGAGGGAAACCAGGCAGCCCCCAGGAAACAAGGAGACCCCCCCCTTCTCCCCTCTGGCTCCATGATGGAACTGAGTTGAGGACAACTCGTCCCCTGATGGGCAGAGGGCCTCCATGTCTGCAAAGCATTTAAAACAAAGGGGTGGGCGGCCTTGCAAAGCCCAAGAGCAAGGGCTTGAACAATTGTTAAGAACAGTGTGTACATTTAGCTCCGCTGTTTTTAAGCAAAAATAAATAAATAATTTTCTGACAAATGTTTTGGTCTGTAAATATTGGATAATCATTTAAATAAAGCCTCGATTTGAGTTGATGACTGGCATCTACACTGGTTTTCACGCATTTTGCCTTTTTCAAAGTAAAAGGGGACATTTTAGTGAATGCTATAAAAAGTAGCGCCATCTGGTTGAGGGAAAAAGAAATATATAATAATACATAATATATATACATACACATATAAAGTAAAAGTATTGCGTGTTTCTTAGGCTGTTGAGTATCCTATATAAAAATATATATATATTTATATATTTATATATATATATATATATATATATGTATATATATATATGTGTGTGTGTGTGTCCATCTGTTGACATTAAGATAAATGTAGGTTTTTCTTTTTTTTTTTTTTTTAATGTCTCCTTAGGAACAAATGTGTCATTTATCTCACAATTAAGCCATAACTGAGATAACAATTCTCACTAATCTGAGCAACCCTAACCCTAAAGACAGACACACGAGGGTCTTTTTGGCTCACCTGATCTGAGAGCATACAGACTTCCTCGAGGATGGAGGAGACCGGCCGACTCCTCTCTCTGCCTCTAGTGAATGGAACAATGCAGTATGTGCACATGTTGTCACAGCCGCGCATGATGGACCTGCCGGCACAGAGAGCTGTCAAACACATTACAGAGACGCAGATAGTGACACCCTTCACCTAAACTGGCATAAAAAAAACATTTAAAAAAACAGCATACACAAAGGCACTCCGACCCTGAGGAGCGAGCTGAACAGGCATGATGTCAGCGTAGGTCTCCTCTAAGGACAGCAGCACGTTGCTGGCTTGTTGTCCTCCATCAGCAATAGCTAAAAGGCGGGGGAGGTCCCTGTAAGCGTCTGGCCCGGCAAGAACATCAACCAGCTTCTCCCGCTCCAGAAGCTCTGTCTTCAGCCTCTCCGCCATGCACCCTGAAAAGATATGCACACATATATAAAAACACATCCGCTGACCTCAGTCTGACACACATAACTTATATCTCACCTAAAACCCCTATTTTCATTGGAGAGTGGGTCCTCAATCGCTTCTTCTTCATGGCTGTTAGCTGGTGTAGCCTATTCCAAATAGTCTGCTCAGCCCTTTCTCTGTTTCAAAAAATTTAGTCATGGGCAACCTTTTTAGACCAAAAAATAAGTAAAAACATTGTCTTGAGCTTGTATCTCCACCTTACCTTATGGAACAGGTTACCAGTAGGACTACATCGGCCTGCAAGCACAAACGCATCATGAGCTATCCAGGGGTGTCATAAAAGGATTTCAAATTCCTGAAACATAAGAATCAATGACAAATGTACCTCATTTAGGTCAACTGTGCGTAGATATCCCTTCTTCTGAAGTATCGACCAGGCTATTTCCGTGTCGTTTACATTCATTTGACATCCGTAGGTCTCAAAATACACTGTAACCAGGCATATCAACACACACTTATCCAAACCATCCAGCGAAATTCTGCATGCCCCCCACCCAAACCGACCTTTCCTTGAGTTCCCTCTCTCCAAGTGTCCAGGAAGATAACTTTGTTTATAGGAGGGTTCCTCATCCGCATCCACAACAGAAGTCCTGCTCTCTGAAAGTCCTTTGACAAAGTCCTGAAAGTTTGGACCAGAAGCCACCTTACTCCTGAAGCTCTCACATACCGTAGACCTCTTTTGTTTCGAGGTCACAGTGGCGTTAGTTAGGTGAGAACAATATCTGGGCTGGATGCACCTGAGAGGGGCCCAATGTTGAGAGACTAATAAGGGTTTCAGAGCCCTCATGCTTAGCTAGTTACTGACGCCTTTTCGTATTTGTTCTTTTTGTTGTAGAATTAGTTCCAATAAAGCGCTAACGACGTTGAATACATGTAATTTACGCTCAAGTGTTGCCAACGTTGCGTTTGCGACAAGAGGATCGACTCCAGTGCCTACAAGTTACATGAGGCCATGATTGTTAAACATGGGAAGATTACCACACAACAGTAATAGTCTGGGAGACGGTAGCAATGACTCAACTATTGTGCTCGAAAGGAGCAAGACAAATTACTTTTGTTGTTTACGCGCAAAAGGCAATGACATATGTTTTTATTTGTTATCTGGAAGAATTTCACCAATATTTGTCATAAAGTGACAACCTAACTACAGGAGTTAATTCCACAAAACCACAGTACAAAGACGACGAGGATGGTGTATGGCTTGTAACAGACAACACTTATCTGTGAATGATCTTGCTCGCTACGCTGTGCGTCGATAAAAAAGGTCCCCCGCACGTCCGTGATACGTGCGGAAAACCTGTCACAAAACAAAGTTCCGTACGCACGCATTTCTACAGCTCTCTGCAAATGCTTACACGAGAAGACGGGTGAATAGCTCGCACAAATAGAACAAGCCAGAGGAGAATCAACATCAGACTTCTTTCTAGAGTAGAAAAATGTCAAAGGTGGGGATTTGCTTTCAATATATTCTTGGCCTCTAGTTGATGGTGTCATCAAGTGTTGTGATCTTTGCCGTCTTGATTTATGAAACGTTCCATCATGGTCATGACATTATAAATTAGAATATGCCAGAATTCTCTGGCATATTCACATTTCTAACAGACAGCTCAGCTCAAGGAGAAAGAGAGAGTGATGATGTGCAATGTGGGAGTCACCAGGAGCTACAGGTTCAGTAAGAACTGACTAAGAACACAAAGATAATAAACAGCACTGTTCCTGTGTCTCTTTTGTCCAGTCTTTCCTGGCAGTGAGGGATAGTAAAAGTGGAAGACAACGAGTAGGGGCATAGTAGGAACACTAGGAACTCCGTTATTCTAATTTGTCTGTTTGTCTGTAGTTTTTTTAATTAGGTAAATATGACAATACACAAATCAAATCTTTGCATGTGGTGTGATTAATAACTGTCTTTTTAAGAGTTGCCAGTCTGTGTCAGAGCACCTACCTCTGCCTGCTTCAACATCCATTTGTTCTGCTGTGCAATGGGAAACTGTGGTCCCACCAGTGGAGTTGTCTGATGTAATTTCTGCCCCTGTCATTTATTCTGGACGTCCACTCTTCTCCTGGACTGGATGTGATGATGGAGAAAACTACGCTGCTGCTGCTGTTCTGCTGCCTGGTCATGTCTTTATCTAGGCTAGTCCTGACAAATCTTCTGTACTTTTTCTGTCTGATTTGTCTCTTTAAACTGAATTAAATCTGTGTTTTGAAGGCAATGGAGATCCTTCCTAACTAGTCAACTTAGCAAATTTGAAGCTAGTGATAAATATCAACAATAACACTGAACTGTGAACAATATTTAATCTTATTTTACACATGATACACACCTCATAAATACATGTTTTGATTATCTTTATTGAACAGCTGAGAAATTAGGTCCCAAAGCATGGGTGCTTCAACATTTATAGCCAGTGAATGCACTTACACAAAACATCATTGAACATTAGTTTGACAGAGAAGAGTAAAAAGTCAACTTTGTGTTCTTCACTTTACTTTAAATGTCATAGTTGTGACCTTTGCACTCGTTATGTAGAGAAGGGCTGAGTGGTCCCTCTTTAGCATCTGCATTACATTTACACAGAAACCTAATCAGGGTGCATTGCATCAAGGCTACAGAACATTTGAGTTCACTAGGGTAGGAAATGTCTCATTTTAACATCCATCACAATTGAAAATATTGAGCTATGATAACAAAGATATCCATTCTGATTATTCAATCAGTTTGTGTTTGGTAGGAAATGTAATATGTGAACTTAGAGGAAGACTTCCATAGAGCAGCTGCTGGAATACACATAATCCAAGGGAGTACATGTGAATAGGGAACAAAATATATCGAAAATAATCCAAATGATTTGAAATATGAACACATTCCAAATTAATACATATTTGACTCTTTTTTTTATCTGACTCTTTTATAGGCTCCAACCTACAAAAGAAGATTCACTTTGTGTTGCTCATTGTAAATTTAACATTTAAACTATCAGCAAGGCTCTGTTCTTCCTACTCTTTGAATCTAATGGTTATGTTAGAATTTGGCTATAATTACTCACTTTAGCATTGTATGCTATACATAGATAGTTTGCCCCGCAGGTGTAGCGGGGCGGGCAACCCCGAGGCCAGCGGAGTGGATTGAGGACAACTCAGGGGTCCTCCGTGTCTAACAAGTATTTAAAACAGAGGACTGGGCGACCCTGCAGAGTCACAGAGCAAGGCCCCACGAGCAGTCCCCACTACCCGAAGAGCCACACCCACCCGACCCTACGTGGTAAGTTTGTTCTGTGTACTGGATCCTGGGGGGAGAGGGGTAAGGGGATGCAAAAGATATCACCCAGTGAGGACCCTCCGTCTGTCCAGGATCTCTTTGTGAAACTTGTAATTGATGCTGAAGTCGTTTCCTCTCAGCACCCTGCCACGCCTCTTTACAAAGACCTTCGATTTGAAGTGCTCGAACTTGGCTACGATTAGTCTTGGCAAGCGGGGGTCAGGTCTCTTCCCTCCCAGGCGGTGCACTCGGTGGAAGGAGATGTTCTTCACTGTGTTCTCCAGAAACTTAAGATGAGTCTGGATAAAGCTTTTGATAACCAGTTCAGGGTAATTAAATTAATCCCAGCAAACACAAGGTTGTCCCTCATACTGCAAGCCTGGAGGGTCTATGATTGTTTCTTTGATTTTCCTGTTTTCCTCAGAAACTCGGCTCATTCCCTCCGTGAGGGAGTCCTCTGCAACCAGCGTCTGCACCTGTTGCTGGCTGAACTCCAAAGACTCACACAGTGCCTGAAATTCTTTATGTAGAATCTCTAAGGGGGACAGGCAAGCGTCTAAACTGGACAATTTAGAGTCTATTGACAACTAATGTCCAACCACTCCTTGCCAGCGGGAGACATTGCACCGGGGAGTCTTCGTTCCGGTTCTGCTTGGAAGATGAGGATTTACCTGCCGATGTTTGGCTCATTTTCCCCATGATGATCCGATCAAAACACTCGTTTAGTCGAGACTTTCAATTCAATTCAATTTTATCTATATAGCGCAAAATCACAACAACATCTCACAGCGCTTTCCAAACAGAGCAGGTCAGACCCTACTCTGAGTTATTACAGAAGCCCAACAATTCTCACCAAGAACAGGTACTAGGCGACACAAGCAAGGAAAAACTTCATTTTAAGAGGCAGAAACCTCGAGCAGACCATGGCTCAGGGTGAGCGGCCATCTGCCTTGCCGGTTGGGGGTGAGAGACAGAGAGGGCAAGAGAGTGAGAGGTAGAGAAGGACAGAGGGAGCAGAGGGAGGCAGCCTACACAGTAATACATAGACTGGATGAAAATGGTAAGGTATTGATAGAAATGATAATGATAGCAGTAATAATAGCAATAAGACTATGAACAGTGGCTGTAATTGTAGCAGAGTAGGAATATGGGCACAGAGGGAGACTCCCAATGACAGATCTAGCTTCCACAGCTCCAGGAACACCTGCAGAAAATGATAGGAGGAGAGAGGAGAGGGATGAGAAAGCACCCGACTACGGGAAAGGAAAAAATCCCAGTTTGTAACATGCATTAATGGAATGAGGTCGCACTGAGAGGGAGAGGGAGAAGGAGAGGGGAGCTCGGTGCATCATGGGAAATCCCCCAGCAGTCTAGGCCTATGGGAGCATAACTAAGGGTGGACTCACTCGAACTATAAGCTCTATCATAAAAGAAAGAGACGGTGTCTGCCTCCCAGACCCAAACTGGAACCTGGTTCCACAGGAGAGGACTCTGATAGCTGAATGCTCTGGCTCCTATTCTACTTTTGAAGACTCTAGGAACCACAAATAACCCTGCATTCTGGGAGCGCAGTGCTCTGGTAGGGCAGTAAGGTACTATGAGCTCTTTAAGATAAGATGGTGCCTGACCATGTGTCAGTGCAGACAGAGGAGGACCCAATAGCACAGTGCAGTTCAAACGTTTATTGAGGTTCTGGAGGCAGGAAGCAGGAATCTTGGTTCTGGATCACGGGTGGGAGTCAGAGTCAAAGATAAGCAGACAGGTTAGTTATGCAGGCTTGCAGACGATCTGACAAGAGTGGAGTGAAAAACTGGGCCTTATATACAGAGGTGGTAATCAGGAAATGCAGAGCAGCTGGCAGGTTGAAGGGAGCAGAGCAGAGACAGGTGCAGGCAATCAGCCCAAGCAGAGGGCTCATGACACCATGAAGAGCTTTGTATGTAAGGAAGGATTTTAAATTCTATTCTGGATTTTACAGGAAGCCAACGCAGATAAGCCAAGATAGAAGAAATATGATGTATTTTACTGGTACCTGTCAGAACACGTGCTGCAGCATTCTTGATCAGCTGAAGAGTGTTAAAGGACTTTTTCAAAGAGCCTGATTATAGGAAATTGCAGTAATCGAGCCAGGAAATGACAAATGCATGGACTAGTTTTTCTGCATCATTTTTACACAGGAAGCTCCTAATTTTTGCAATATTACGTAAATGAAAGAAGGTGGTTCTTGAAATTTGCTTAATGTGAGAGTTAAATTACATGACTTTATCAAAAATAACTCCAAGATTTCTCACAGTGGTGGTTGAGGCCAGGGCGATGCCATCCATGGTAAAAACTATATCTCTAGATATAGTTTCCCCTGGCCTCCGGGCCTAAGCACAGACTCCGGGTCTAAGCACCTAAGCACGGAGGTGCTTGGCCCTAGAACAATAACTTCAGTTTTATCTGAGTTTAACATTAGAAAATTGCAGGTCATCCAGGTTTTATATCCTGAAGACAGATTTGAAGCTTAGCTAACTAATGACTTTCATCTGGCTTGATCAATAGATACAACTAAGTATCAACTTCAAACAATGAAAGTTGTTAGAGTCTTTGCTCCACAAATGTCCCAATAGGGGTGCCCAGGGCTGACAGCAAGTGACTTTCTGTGTTCTGCAACTTGTTTCTTGAGCCTTTGGTTAAACTGAAAATTAATGGCCGAGAATATGATCTACATTGGAGCCAGGTTTTCTACACTCATTAAGTCACTCCCACTATCACTGAAAACCATACCAGTTGTTGGGATCTCGGAAATAACAGAAGAGTTGCCTCTGCACAGACCTGTCCCATGCACTTAGAATTTTCTCTAGTTTGACCATTCGTTTTTGCTGTCACCTTTCCGTCTTGTTAACTTGTTGGACAGAGACATTTTGTGTTCTCTAAATGTTTCTCTATTGATGGCCCCCAACTATGTTGACATTACTTTCCCTGATGGCTCTGTGCACAGATGTGCAACACTGCGAATGCCTTCTCACATCTTGATGAGGATGAAAAGAACGTCTTTCTGATCGGAATGGGCACACATCTCCTGTTGGAGCATCAGATCTGGATTCTGAGGAAGATAAGGAAGCTTGGTTTGTCCACCCCCAAGAAGAAAGTAAATCAAGTTGCAAAGGCTACAATGAGAAATAAGGCTGAAAGAAAACAGGATCCACATTATCATGTAAAAAATCTAAAAAAATAAGAAAAGGTAGGAAAGGTAGGTACGGGGTATGCTAGTCTGACACTATAACTGTCAGATCAGCATACCTGGCCTGTCAGATCGTCAAAACTAACCTGTCAGATCGTCAAAACTAACCCGTCAGATTGTCATACCTAGCCCGTCAGATCAGCATGCCTAGCCCATCAGATCACCATACCTAGACCGTCAGATCATT